GAAATGTATGAAAATGGTATATTTATTTAAATGTTTCATCATCAATTGAACTACATAAATGTTAACAAGATAATAAGCTAAAATAGTTTATGAAATAACTTAACAGGGTTTTCTTCAGCTTCTTTCAAATCACAAAATTATCAAGGATTTCTTGCACAAAAACCCGTCTACAAAATGATTAACAATAATAAAAACTTATATTTAATATAAAAAATAAATAAATATCATAACAATCTTCTTGTCAAGTCAAAAATATGTATATATAAATATAATATATATTACTTAGACTAGCATACACATATACATTTATGTAAATATAAAACATTTAAAATCTTTTATACGTTAATATGTATATATAAATATTTTTCTATATAAATTTTGTTGTTGTTGTATTTGGCATAAATATTTGGGAGTTTTCGAAAAACAGTTCTCTAAGGCATTTTGTTTGTTCTGTGGTGTTGTTGTTTTTTTTTTTAATTTTCCATCACATTAATAACAATTGTTTAACATTGAAAATATATGTTTATAAATATAATAAGATAATGGTCTATTTGGTTTATTTATTTTTTTTCTTGGCATATAAAGTTTGGCTCGACATCGTGTTTTTTATGTAAATCTTCTTGGAAGTGGGGATGTACATTTTAATTTTTTTTTCATATTTTTTAATATTATTACTCCAAAAATATAGTTTTTTTTTTTATAAAGTTATATAATATATATTTCTTTATGTTTGCAAAATTTAAATCCATGTAAGCCATGATGATTCCATTTGCAAAACTCAAACAAAAAACGTTTGAAATACAGCAAATATTTTTGTGGGTTATATTTCTTGGGCGCAGGAGGTGCAATGTTGTAATTGTTTCAGATCAATTTGTCTTAAAAAATTGTTAATCTGAATCAATTATAAGTGATAAGCTAATATTAATAAAAGGGGTATTAGAGGATTTCAAGTAGACGATTAAAAAATGATATTTCATAGAGACAGAGAGTATTTGAATGATTCTACAAGGCGTTGTGGATGTACTTTTTTTATAGTCTTTGGATCGAAAGGCTAAGAAACATGGATTCTATTATTAACTAGACTTAAAAATCGGGTATAGAGATATATTTTTGTTTTTTTTGGTCTATAAGACATTATTTATACGATTATACAAATGTAATTATTGCCGATTTCCGATAAGATTCAAGATTTTCATAACTCCACCAAAGAACAGTAGACGTTGTCAAACGTTGGATACAAGGTGGATGAGTCTAATACACTATTAATAATGATTTCCATCTGATACTTCGAATGATAAAAGTCACACCATCCTAAGACCATTTACATTTGTCTTAAATATGTGATGTTAAAAAAATTAAACATGGAATGACATTTCATTGGTTTTTACTCTGCTCAATTTGATTCTGATTCTAACTCCAGGTTATTGATGTTTTGCAACACTCAATCAAATTCGCGCCCAATGCGAATGGAGTTGGATACACCACCACAACATTCTGGTTTGTCTAGGTAGCTACTTCCCTTATGCTGTGGTTGTATTCACCCTGAATTTTTGAATTGTTTCTCCAGTGTCTGTTGATCATCTTGTTGTGTTGACGCACATGAAGCATCTTCGTCTTCTCCAGTAAGTGGTCTATTGGAGTCATAGGTATACACCCTGTTTCAGTCATCAGGTCGATTGAATGTTATCTAATGCGTAGTACTTACGATAGCGAGTCACACTGCTACCAACATTTCAATCTGAGCTGGAGAGTAGTTCTTTCAACACTTTCACTCGACTTGATGGAATGTGTGATGTGAGCCTAGGCATCAATAACTCTATGATTAGTCAAAAACATAGTTCTTATCTCACAAGGCTATTTACTTCGTTTTCACATCTGTGAAAAATTCTGGTAGCAGGATTAGACGATCCATTTCATTGTGCCAAATGGCCGTGAAGTTCAACCAACAACGGCCTCAGTGACACAGAACACCGACCATTGACGTCGTGCGTTAACTGATAATGGAGGCTTGTTATGTGACATACCATGAGTTAAAAGCATCCATTGGCATTTCTTCCGCCCTCATATATTCCGTAATGCATGGTATAAAAGGTTTGTTATAGTTGACAATTTGAAAATTGCTCAAAAAATGATGCGGGCCTTTGGAAAGAAATGTTGAAAATTTAAAATCAAGGACATATGCGAGTGAATCCGAAACAACCGTCTGGGACTTTGAAGATGTTCCTAATGACGCGAAAGTAATTCGTTATTCTGAAAAACTGGTGATGTACCGCTTGAGCGACTTAGGTACATAATTTTATTTGCCTTCGTTGAAATTCAGAAAACGAAGAGGAGATATCGAATTTTTGTGCCCTATGATAATGCGAGCTCTTACTCAGGCTCTCAAACCAGCGTATTTTTGTACTTCGATATACCTTGAAAAATAGCAGAACTCAACTGCCGTTTTCAGCATTCTGAACTCTGAGGGTGGCATGTTTATGCCTAGTATATGAACACTATGCCATTCAGATCAACTCAAACTTGATTTTTGTGATAATTAATTTTCAGGAAGCTATTCAAGCTTCAGAATTTATGTGTATTCGAAATATATTACTTCGAGAAATGAAACTTCTCTTTTAATGCGGGGTGTTAGAAAACGCTGTGCGACAAGATGTTGGTGTTGGGAAAAAAATTCTTTTGAGTGTTGAAAGATCTTGGGGAGTATATGAAAATCCTAGAAGAAAAATTCCGCCATAGGTCAAAGTTCGAAGATATTGCGTGTAAATATAATAGCTACAAATGAAGATATTTCCGAACGTTGCCTGTTGCGAATTTTTGCTTCTGAGGTTTTCATATACTCACCAAGCCCTTTCAATCCCAACAAAAACCCTTTTAAACCCCAGGCCATGATCTCGATTTTATCGCACAGCGAAATTAATCTTCCAAGTGAATTCGTCATTGATGAAAAAATATTTCAATATGTTTCCTTGTTTGGAACTAGACGTAGTGGGTTCAAAAATTCATGTTTTTAATTTTATCAAAAAATATTCTCCTTCCAAACAACGATGTGAAAAATATAGCCGTAAAAATGGTTGGGCAATATTTTAAAACAGTATTTTGATGACTGATTTTTACATGAAATTGATTATTTTTGAGATCTATCCAAAGATGATTATATCGTTCATAAAGGATCGATATCGATTTTAGTGGATTCGGATCTACCTTTCATTAATTTAAGTATTATATAAAATATGATAATGGCTTGTCAGACAATTTTATGTTTGTTTCGATATTTAAAGGCGATTTTTATTCTAGGCGTTTCAAGTCGAATTAATTTGATCCATGTTTCTTAGACTTAATGATCATCAAATAAAAATAAATATAAGCAAAGACATAAAAGGCATACACAGTGCGACATTGATTTGAAAGTTTCAACAATTTACTAACTATAATTATATATACAAATAACCACAATATTTTTTTCCAAATTTTTATAAAAATGTTTTATTTTTTAATTCCAATTAAAGCAATTGTTTGCATTCTTTCAAATCACGATCGTCATTGTTTTGTTGCACTGTGTTTAACAGCTGTTCTCTACATCTATTTTTTTTGGCAAGCGTTGATTCTCTTTTTAGTTTACATAGAAGTCGCTTAGGCTTGATCTATAACTTGATCTACAAACATTTATTATTAGATTTTCAGCACTATCGAAGTTAATATTGTTTTGTTTGTTGTTGTTGTTGTTGCTGTTGATTTAGCTTTTGAAGCATTACTAACTGTCCGAAAAAGTATATGTCCGATAGAAAACATTTACATTTGTGTATTTGTGGTATTATACAGGTTTAGTTGTAAGTTATATATTTAATAACTGCTACCCATAAAGTTGCAAGAAAATTAATTTAACTGAATTCAAGTTGAATCAGTAAACTATTGTAATAAAAAAATATGTATTGTATAAAAACCTTGAAATAAATCTATGAAAAAAATATATTCCTCGATCTAATACAGCATTTCAGAATTGCTGGGCTTTGAATTAAGGGTAAAATTAAAGATAAATTAGGGTTTATATGTAATTTCGATTTACAAAAATGCACAGTATTAAAAAATAAAATATTCAAGGATAGTATATATAGGCATTAATTTGGTAAAAACCATTGCCCTGTGACCTGTGCCCTAGTTTCGTAGGATATACGATATAATAATAAAAAATGAATGATCATCATCAAAACCTCGAACTCGAATGATAATTGCTTCATGTATACCAACAAAAACTATACTGAAATAAAGTTTTCGGTACACTTGATTACATAAATATTAGCCCATTCACTGTCAGACACATTTTAAAATCGAAACTGGATAAAATACTAATTTAGCATTCTCAAATGGCAGGACGCCACGCTAGGAATATTCCTTCCATATTATGAAGATAACATCCAGACATGGAAACTGGAAGCAGTGATATGGGGCGGCGTATACCTACGAAGGTCTTTACAGAAAATTTCTTGAGATGCACTATTTTTTATAAAAGCTCCAAATTGTTGACGATATATTAATGAGATTCTGAAATACTGTGTTCTAAACATAAACAAAATCCAGCAGATGAATTCCACCTAAAAATAATCAAAACCTAATATTACAAAATTACATTTACCCCGGTATAGTTGGGGTCATTTCGCAGTTAACCTAAACTATCAATGAAGTATAAATATTGCAGCTTACAAAAATCTAGGTTGGGACAATATGTCTCAATAACAACACGATAGAAATCTATACAAATGATCGAAATAAAATATATACCTAGGGTTCTATGATTTTGTTTGGTTTTTTCGTAAGATATAAATAAATTGTTTTCAATGCTATGCTGCATTGATAGAAATATAACCTATGATCCTGTTGGACACACAAAAAACTATAATGCTTTTATATAAAACTTGTTTCTATCTCTGTATATATCCTTTTTTTCTTCCCTATGAATTTGTTTTCTTCTTCTTCTCTTGCAGAGTTCTGTTGCACTCTTATTTTTGTGTTTTTTTTTCAATATCTTTTGAAATCCTCCATACAAACTCCTGGAAAAAATATCTGTGCAGTTTAATCGTTTTTGTTCAGAAAATGTAACACATAATGCAACACCAAGTCATAACAATATTTGTATTCGGTCATATTCTCTACCAGATGCGGACGATTACGTCTAACCGTTTTGACAGCCTGAAAAACATCCACTTCACCATGTTGTATGACCTGTTCGATACAAGCATTAGCGGCACAGTACACGCCGCAACGGCTACGACCATCGGGTGATACAACACATACTGGGCCATAATCAGTTTTGGCACGCCACAATTCGACCATATTCATCAGATAGACCAGCGAATTGGTCGATGTGGGCACTTTATGGCCCATGGGCCAACACGTCAATTGGAAGAGCTGTACAGTGCGTGTTGGTGCCTTAACGCCGGCCATCATTTCGGTCAATGAGACGATTTTTTTGTTGATCTTGAATTCCCATTGTTTGATGTTAGTGTAACTGCGTGCAGCGGAATAGTGTACGGAGAAGACGGGACCGTACTTCTCCATTTTGGATTTTATGGGCCAGAATGAGGGGAAGGTTTGGGAATTGGCAGGGGGTTGGCACAATACTACCACTGCCGAGCATTCGGTATCGTAAACCAGGGACCAAAACTCACCGAGCGTATGTTTCATGGGCCATTCGGTGACAATGTATTCGCGCGGCTTGGTATAGCCATCCACATAGACGGCATTGATGTAATCTGTAAAGGCATTACCTTGAAATGATGTTAGATAGGGACGGAAGTTGTCGGGTGGCACACACAGGACATCTCGGTTCTTTTCCCGGTTGTCGGCACGATGACCACCGGCACAATCGCCAATGGTGAAACGTGGTGTTTGCTTGCAGATTTTATCGTATTCCATTTGATATTCGTTCATTTTGGTTTGAGAGTTACGTCGGGCCTTGGCCTTCAGACGATCGGAGAGTTCGGAAACGGGGAACCAAGTTTTACCGCATACAATGTGTTCCTCCAGTGTATCATAGATGAATTTATATTGATCGACATTTTCCACTAAGCCTTTGCGCGACTGCCTCAGCTTCTTTTGATAGCCGTAAATGTTGAAACATTCTTCTTCCTCGTGCAGCTCCAGATTGGCATCAATCGAGACGAACACACCCGAACGGCCACCACCATCCCCACAATGCACCAACATTGGGCCACGTGAATCTTTGTCTTTTATAATGCTGCCGACGACGAGGCGAACACGTCGGCGAAACTCCAATAAGGCATTTGAGAAGGGACAACAATGGGAATACCATTCGGTATAGTGAAATTGCAGCAACAGGCGGTCCTCTACAATTTCCGATCTATTGGCCTCATTCAGTTTGTAAAGTCGGAAAGTGCGTATATGGAAATTGGCCAACTGTTCCTCTTTGATGATGCTAATATTAATGTCGCCATAGGTTTCGTGTACCTCACGATTGGGTGGCCAGTATTGAACACACATCACTTTGGCAAAATCGAAAGTCTTCGTGAGCATAATAATGACACTGACATTCTCCTGCCATACCATACGCCAGAAGGCATTCACTGTATCCTCCACTGGACCCTGGGTCACAATATAGGCATTTGGTTTTAACAAACTATCCACGTACGAAGCATTCACATAATCCGAATCCGGCTCACCCTCCACCTTTTTCAGCACCACTCGATTGTAATCGTAGGGAATGCATTTGGGATTCTGATTTTTGCCCTGATTACTCTTTTTCATGGCATAACGGCAGGTATTGGTCTCCACTCGGGCGGCTGTCTGAAATTCCAATTTATATAGGACGGGGAATTTTCGTCGAAGTTCACACATTTTGATAAACTGCTGGGTATCAATGGGATAGGTGGGCATGGTCTTCGACAGGGAGTTGTTTTCATCTCGCGCCTCCAATTTGATTTTCTCAAACGATAATAGGCCACTGTTGAGCATACTCAATTTCAGGGTACTCGGTATGGAGAGCAGGGAGCGGCGGGGCTGTTTGGGTTCTGCGACGGCATGACGTGGCGATGACTTTGATCGACGTTGTTTCTGTGGTGATGGTTTTCGTGTCTCAACAGCACTTGCACTGGTGACACTGCCCCTGGTGCTGTGAACTTTACCATTACCATTGGGTATTGCTGCCAGCGCTGCTGCATCCCTGGAAGTGGAGGCTCGTGGATATTCATCGGTCTGTGACATGGTGTGGTTGTCGTCGTCAACGTTGTACGTTCGTCTTGACTCTGTGGGACTTTTTCGGGGTGTTGTTGTTGCTGTTGCGGTTAATTGTGTTGTGGCCGTTGAATTAGAGGTGGCTAATGACGATGAATGGGAGGGGGAGAAGAGTTTTACTTTGCCATGACGTCGTAGGTGAAGGAATTTGGTAAATTTCTTATAGATTTTATGCCTGGTATTGTGTTTGACGGCCAGTTCAAATGTTTAGATGTATTCTCTATTTGTCGATTGTGTGTTATGATTCAGATTATCTAAGTGAAAATACGCAGACACACACACCCGCGAACATGCATAGATACTGGGTGGCTGGCTGCTGGCTTCCTCTCTATAAAATTTGTTGAGATACTTCGGTGCTGACACTTAGTCTGTGTTGTTATATATGTTTTCTTAGTTGTTTATTTGTAAATTCTTATTGTAGTAATTGTTGTTGCCGTTGTTGTTGTTGCTGCTGCTGCCTTTTGCAAAACAAGTAGTTGTTTTTGTTTCCCACTTATTCATTCACGCAAAATTTCGAGAAAAACGAATTAAACAAATTTTTCATGTTTTCTTAAAAATTTTCACCAGCTGCCAACACGGGAGAAAGTAAAAAAAACGACTGACACACGAATTCTCTTTTGGTTCAGAGCAATGGCTATTTTGTTGGTTAATGTTTTCTGTTCTTTATATTCTCATCGTTTAATAGCTGCAGGTTGTTTTTATTTTTCTTCGCACTGTTCACAATTTTCCTGAATTTTTTCTCTCTCGTGGAAATTTTTTCTCTTACAATCAGCTGTTTTATCGTTTAGTTTTTAATGTTATTGTTTTTCATACAGTGGGCTCGTTTCTTGTATGCGTATTTGTTTATTGTGCTTCGAATTTTGTTAATGAAAATCAACTTAAAATATTTTTTTATTGTTATTTATTTAATATTCTTTAATAGACGTTGCCTTCGAAATCGTTGTGTGATGCATGGAATTGTTTGTAGAAGTAAGTTTTTGTCCACATATTAAACGAGTTGCTGCCGAGTTTTACTAAACGAGATTTAGTATATTCTGTCATTACTAGGATCATTATATTAAAACCAAAGTAAATACACACTCTCATACATCATTTGTTTTAATAGTGTTTTAAAACAAATCCATTAATATGGTGTATGAGAGCGATAAAATATCTGACTTGTATAAAACTCATTCCAGACCTAATGTACAGAATTCTAGACCTAATGTACAGAATTTCTGTGCAATCATTTAACTGTTATTTATTTGTAATACAATTTACACGAAATCGTAAAAAACATAGTATTTCTTGGCAAAATGCATAGAAGTCATGTCACAGTTCGTAATACTATATAACGCTATACATCATCCAATTCAATCCAAATCGAGTAAGCTATGTAGTAAAGTCGGTATCGATTTGAGAAGTAGTGCAATATTTCGTGCCAATCGAGCAAACATTAGGAGTTTGGTGCACAATTTATAATTTAAAATATATATATATATATATATATATATCGGAGTTATATCAAAATATGAACCGATTTTATCGAAACTCACCACACATCATTCAAACTTCGTGCAAATCGAAGGATATAAAGGGACTTTGGTGCACTATTTACCTAAAATCGGACGGAAATATATATGGAAGCTATATTTAAATCTGAGCCGATTTCACGAAACTTAACGTACATCATTCTGGACACAATTCAGTACGCTATTCCAAATTGCGAGGAAATCGAAAGATATGTAGGGATTTTGGTACACCATTTACATTAAATCGGACGAAAATATATATAGGAGCTATATCGAAATTTGAACCGATTTTCACAAAACTTAACATACATCATTGTAGACATAATTTAGTCCGCTATGCCAAATTTCGTTCAAATCGAAACATATATAAGCATAAAATTGGACGAAAATATATATGAGAGCTATATCGAAATCTGAACAGATTTTTCCGAAACTCACCCTCATCATTCTAGACTCAATTTAGTACACTATGCCCAACATCGTGCAAATCGAAGGTTATAAAGGGACTTTGGTGCACGATTTACCTAAAATCGGACGAAAATATATATGGAAGCTATATTTAAATCTGAGCCGATTTTCACGAAACTTAACGTACATCATTCTAGACACAATTCAGTACGCTATGCCAAATTGCGAGGAAATCGAAAGATATGTAGGGATTTTGGTACACCATTTACATTAAATCGGACGAAAATATATATAGGAGCTGTATCGAAATTTGAACCGATTTTCACAAAACTTAACTCACATAATTCTAGACATAATTCAGTACGCTATGCCAAATTTCGTGCACATCCAAACATATAAAAGCACTTTGGTGCACCATCTATGGGAGCTTTATCGAAATCTGAACCGAAACATATATAAGCACTTTGGTGCACCATTTACATAAAACCGGACGAAAATATATATGGGAGCTTTATCGAAATCTGAACCGAAATGTAAATTTCTGATTAACTGTATTTCCCACGTTGCTTATACGTTTAGTTGTGCTGCAATTCAACAAACTTGATCCTCAGATTATAGGGTATATGTGAATTCCATCTCTACAAATTTTTTTACAAAAATATAATAAACGATTTCATTCACTCTATATTTTAATTTTAATAATCTTTAGTTTATCACATCTTTATCCCAGACATATTTATCTACATATATTTCGATTTGCCATATTATATATATTTTGTTACTATGTCATTTTTTTCCTTTCACATAATTTTTGATCTAATAAATTATTCCCCGTTTTTGTATTATTCATGTTTTTGTTAAATATATTCGTGGCGTATATGACGATTATACTGTCATGAGTAAGTATGTCTGGTTGTTTGTTTTCCCGGAATTTCCGTGCCTTTTTCCCGAATTGTTTGCAATTAATTTGTGTTGCTGTTGTTGTTAAACAAATTGCAAATATTTTTATAGTTTTTTTTTTGTTCATTGTTTTCGCCTTGTATTTGTGCTATGTTCTTCTGATTTTTTTTTCTACAACAAAAAAGTTTGTTTATTTCTCTAACACTCTCTTTCTTCGGTCTGTTATATTCACACTGTCAGTCCCATGAAAATTCACTCTGACGCGTGTGCTCACTGCGCCAACTCCGTGTCTGCTGGCTCATCTCATCTGGTCTATTTTTCATTCACCAGGCAGTCAGCGAGCCAGCCACGGTCGGCAGGCCGAATGGCAGCAGCCTCGAAATGTGTAATCGAAAATTCCATGCATCACACCTCGCCTTCGCCGTTCTCTCCATCAACGTAAAGAATTTTATTGGATTTTTTTCGCAGGCGATTTCCAATCACAAACAGGCCGTAATCAATCGATTGTTTGTTTACAAAAATTACAAATTGAATTATTTTATTTTAGTATTATCACGTTTTTTACATTTTTCAGCACTTTAGCCCTTGAATTGAATTACTTATTATTTTTGTAGGTCACCATTTTTCACAGCGAATCGAAATTTCAGATTTTATTTGCAAAATTTGCTTAAATTTTTCATTTTTCCCGTTTGGATTTTCTATTTTCATTATGAAATTTTAGATATTTGGTCGTTTAGATGATTGGCTATATATTTCTTTTAGCCATTTATGCACTATATTTAACAAAAGAAAAATATTTTTGTTCGAGGTATTTTTTTCTGGTATCGTTGTTTGTCTTATTTTTTGTTCGTTTTTTCTTTCGCACTACCACTGCCACTTGCTCTGTCAAATAACGTCTGCTAGGAGGGCACGTAAAAATGAATGAATTTTTCACATTTTGCTTCACTTTTCTGTTAGATTTTCTTTTATCTTGTCATTCGTTCGAAGAAAAACAAAATTTCGAATTCGAAAATATGGTTTGAGATGCTTTGGGTGGTACGATAATTTGGTTAAAGTTATCGTTTTGAATATACAGTGGGAAAGTAGGCTATTTATTTTTAATTTTAATTATATTTAGAGTAGAGCTGACAACAAATGTAACATCGTCGTAAAGTACGATTGCATTTATCTCAAGACAGTAGTTATAATAAATCCAGTGGAGTTTATTGACCTATACTGTATGAAATAATGATTACATACAAAAATGCTAGTATGAAATATTAGTGAAAATCAACTTTATAAGATAAATATAATCCTCTATAGTAGAATCATAATCCCATATAACAGTTACATTTTTAAATGCAAACTTTTTACTTGCTTTTTGTGTCTATTGAAAAATATTTTGAGAAAAATATCTATATTCAGGAAATGTCATAATCGACTCAATCATGTATTTCCGAAATGATATCGAACCTAAAATAAAATATTTTTATCTTGGATTGGATCCTCCGATCATAAATAACACGAGAAAAAAATATAAATATGGCATCACTAATGCGATTTTTTCGCATCTTGTGTACCCTTGTTGATGTGTCGAACATCATTTGTTGTATTTATTCGAACATCATAAATATGTATTTATTTGGAAATATGATTTTCTAGATGTTTTTACAAATAAAAACTGGGTTTACGTATGTGAACGATTTTATCCTTGATTGATAGAAAAATTTAAGACCACCTGAATTGCAGCCAAAAATTCATTTTAACATTTTTTTTATAAATTTAATTCAATTTTATTTGATTTTCTTCAAAATACGTTCGAAAAAATCTCAGTTTTGTAAGGGATTATTTCCCGAAGGAAAGTTTGATACCCACTATTTGTCTTACGAATTTTTGTTAATGATAGTAGTATAGGAAAATCAAACCAGTAAGGAAAGCTCAAAAGTCGGACGGGCCGACCAAATGATAACCTTCACCACTTTGGGTACATACACGACATATTTCAATTCTAGAAGTCTATTTTAAGGAAAAAAAAACTTCCGCATTATACCAAACAGTACTGTGGTATTTACTACTTCAAAATTTCCCAGCAGGATAATAAAATACGAGAGGACATTAAATAAAGATAATTTCGAATTTATTGTCCACTCAATATTCCTTCTGCGTTATTTTTTAAAAACATAATTTGTCATTTCGAAATGTTCTACTGATCCCTTCAATAAATGAAATTTCGAAAAAAAAATTATTAGAGGTGGAGGAAAAAAATAAGTATTCGAATACCATTCTTCAAGATGTTCCATTAGAAGCGCTACTTTGCTACTAGAGATGACTAAACAAATTATGTACAATTGAAAAAAATATATATAAATAAAAGAAA